CACTTGTGCCTGTCTAGGCATTCCCCGAGAGCTGAGGACGGACAATGGAACGCACTTTAGAAATGTGCAGGTGAACAGATGGTGTGAACAATATGGGGTGATGAGAGTGTATTCACCACCATACACACCACAAGCAAATGGTGTTGCTGAACGTACCATTGGCTTGGTCAAAAGCTGGCTAGCTAAAAACGCTAACTCGAAGGAATGGAGCCTCAAAACGGTCGAGATAGGCCGTGCCCTCAACGATCGAGAACGTGAAGGAAGACCGTCCCCTTCTGACGAGTTAAACCAACACCCCTTTGTGACTGAAGAGTTGGGGAGGAGTCAGGAGGTGGACCCAGCCAGCACAGAGGCATGCCCATTCTCGGTGGGGCAGAAGGTGTGGCTTAAAGCCAGAGACCAACCCAGTACAAGTGCAGTCAAACCAAAGTATGATGAGGTCGACTCTGTGATAAAAGTGTTGGACCAGAACACAGTGCTGCTAAAGAAGAAAGGAATCCAAGGAGTWGAGCAGCTGAAACCAGCCCTAGGCTAAGAAACCAGAAATGAACATGGCCATGAACCTCGATGACTCTCCACCACCCTACATTCGAATGGCCACGATTAATGGGTTGGTAATCATGCGAAGAAGCACAGTGGGTATTTGGGTCGGAAGGGCCCTGAAGACCCTCGAATATGCAAAAATTGGATATCTGTCACCGGATCCAGAAACAGTGGAATGGAGCCACTGTAACAAAGGATGTGTGGTCTGCCTGGATGMAGGTAATTTTGAGACCGTGTGGGTTGGACCCGGTTATGAGAAACCGCTCTCCCCCCCAAGGTCTAACGTCGACCTGATAGGAATCAGAAGGAGCCCAGTAAAGGTGATGGAAGCCTTTATCTGTGGAACATGCAGAATTGATACTCTRCCCAGGATCACCCTGATCGTTCAGTGGGACCGGGATGGGGCAATACCCAAAGGATGTGGTTGTTCTTGGGATGGAAACAAGCTGGGCTGGTGTTCTGAATGCTCATATCTGTCATGCAACGGGACATTGGTTCAAGCAGCCGAGGCTGTTGGGTGGCAAGGGAGGAGACTCTTTTACCCCCTCAGGTATGTATCACCAGATGATACCACCAACGCCATAGCCTCCTCTGTGGGCCTCGGTCCCTTTTTGTATCCTGCACTCTCATGCGATCCCTCTGCGCCCCCATTGGATCCGGTCACAGGAACTGAGGAACGCAAGGAGGCGAAAAACAAAGGGAAACCCGAAAACCTCCGATGTGATCTGTTGAATGAAACAATTGACAAAGCTTGGCCCTTTCAGGCCGATGGGGTTCGAGCTGGAAAACCCCTAGTGGGACTGCAGGAGCACCCTGTAGTCTTTAGAGTGTACAGGGAACCCACAACACTGGCTATGAGGCCTGATGAAAGAACTGACAGTGTGAAAGAGACTGCACAGCGAGGTGGTTGGGAGGGACCATGGGAGCTCACTACTTGGGCCTCACTCATTAAGGAGGTGATCGAAAACCAGTTCATCCCACTAACAGAGCTCCCTGCGATCCCTCGAGAGGAGAGGGTCAGAGCCTCTGACCTATATTACTACACCACAAACATCGATGCTTGGTGTCCGAGGGGAGCAAGACCGAAACAGAAATCTTCAATTTTCACGGTCACTTCTGAGGCATGGAATCGCCAAGGAATCCTGCAGATTCCTGGCACTGTGGCTCACAGGACCCAGACTCCCATCCGCCCTGACTCGACTTGTAAAGTTACAGTTGCAGTTCAGATGGTTATTGTCCCCCTGAAAGGAGTTTACTCCGTTGGAGCCACAATCACTGTTCTGGCCCGTTACCGTGAAAACATCAACGCACGTGAGGCCCCTGGCCCCCTCCCTAAAGTACCTGAACCACCAACTCGCCGAAACTCACTCTCGCTCATGAGAGCCCTGACCCGAGTGCCTTCACGGTGGCGCAGGACCGAGAGCGAGAGAAAGTAAGTGAGATTTTGGGTTGACATGTAGACCTCCTCCCTGAAATTTTTTTTTTTGCTATCATCTCTTATCCTAGGGATCTGTTGTGGGATGATTGACCCCAATAATCCCAGGAGAGGGGGTGGAGCCCGAGTGACAGGACAAGACTAAAATTGTAACCACACCCCCACCCCCTAAGATAAAAAGCCTGGCAGTAAGCCACACTAATCAGAAAGGAGATGGAGGGAACAAACTACATGTCACAAACCCAAGAAGACCCAGATTACGATGATGGAAGATCCRACCCCTACGAAAATCCCCTCCCCAAAAGAAGCTGCGGCAGCAGCTGTAAGAAGAAGCCATGTGTTGGGATTGGCCTAAGGCTTTTAGCTTTATTTCTTGCCGTCGCTTTAATTTTGTCAATTTTGTATCAAGTGGGATACCGGCCATGGGAAACCACTCATGCCAAAGTATTTCACGCTAACACAAAATATGGAAACTTGACATGCTGGAGTGTCAGCGCCCTAAACCTGTTCCTACCTTGGGAGGAGAACAAACCAACAGAACTGATTTTTGGAACAGAGTGAAAAGAATGGGTTATGAAGCATGGAAAGACAACCTGGATGATTGGGATGCCTGGAAAAGCGAATTGGCCCAACAGAACTTCACGGAGGACCACAATTGGACAGTCTCAAACATACTAGCCACAAAAGATGGACTGGTTGTATGGGTTAAAATGCTAGAAGAACATGAAACCAAGGCAACAAAGTGTAACTGGGTACAGCTGGAAGGAGAACCACCCGAGTGGCATTGTGACTGGGGATGCAGGCCTCTGTTGGGCTTAGCATACCAAGGATACTGGCAGTATGAAGTAATATTCCCAGCACCTCAAAAACACATATATTGCTCDGCCATATTTCCCAAATGGGAATTTTGGGGACACTATGATCTCAAATGTGACAAAATTCTGGTAATGAACCGAACCAGAACTAAACCAGCAAGAAAACACCCAACGACCTACAAAAAGAAGGCCAAAGTAGCAACCGTCAAGCACGCCATTGATGCAACATATAATGGGACACTCCATGTTGCTGCCCCGACTGTAAATCATGATCAAAAGCAAAACGCACAACATGCTCCGGAAGAGTGCTTAACCGACATCAGACGCCTCGATCCCTGCATATGGAACACATGGGTGAGGTGTGGGAGCCAAAACTTTCTGCCCCTGGGTCCGGTATGGTCCCAATCCTACTATTACAGRAACTGGAGAGCRATTTTYAGCCCCCATAATGCCTTGCATGAGGAGTGGCTAAACTACTCCTTCCCGTGGATATGGATTAAAAAGGATGTTGTGCACTATCAAGGAGATTATCCTGAAGGCGCCGCTAGACAACGACATGGGCTCAAGGGCCCCTACCAATCAGACATGTATGTCCAGAAACTGCCCACAGTCGAGGAATTAAGGTCAGTGCCAAAGGGAGACTTCGAAAAAATCGACAAATGTGTCGCCAGAAGAATTTTCCTTAGCCTCAATGACTCCGAATGGGAAGGACATGGAGCCTCCCCTAGATGCAAACTGTGGCAAGTTGACATTTCGTTTGTATCAACATGGAGGTATGATTGCACAGGCATACTGARACACAACAGCACCAAAGAGTTGCTGCAAGGATGGGTCGAGGGACACAGCAGAGATAAAACCCGGACATGGTGGGGGTTCCAGAGAGAGGAAATGGAGCACTGGGTGATCCCTTGCCTGTCCCAGTCCAACAATTATTGGGTAAAGTATCAGTATGTGGCVACTGTGTACTCAAAAGAACATGATATATGGTCCTCCTGGCTTTACAGGCCGGACAGATATGTCAGTCCAAGGCCTTGGAAGATGCTCTGTACGGAAAAAGGAACCACTTGTAAAGTAAACTTGGCCCGCAGGTCCTGCAGTGAGTTACCAGACTGGGAAGGTTACTGTGAGCAATTCTATGATGGTGAATATCTCACCCATCAGTCTGCTACTATATGGACCCAGACACGCCCGATCTAGTACACGAACTTGGTATCAAGCGCGACCAACGTGTTTCGCCGGGCCATGGCCCGTGATCGCTGCATCATTGCCATCATAGGCCCGAACATGAAGTCCCGCAAAAAGATTTGGGGAGACATAATCCCCTCAGTCCCGGACCCAATAATCTCGATAGCTGAAGGTCATGCTTTCAGAAGAGGACTGTGTTTGGGCCTCGAACAAGAAGGATTTGAGTGGGTAGGCCCAAACCTACTATACTCTAACCTAACCTGCAAATACCCCGAGGAGGTTTGGAAGAAATGCGGGCCCGACAACGACAAGCACACTTGTGCCTGGTATGAGACTTTGCACACAACAGCACTGAGAGAGGTTAAAACCCTGGCGAAAGGAGCCGTTGAAATCGTTGCCGAAGGAGCAGAAGCAGTTGAAGATGCGGCTATAAAAATGTTGGAAAAGATCTGGCCATACTGCTTAACAGTCCTTGGGATCTTGTTTGCGGCTATCCTAGCTCGAATGGCTCTGAGGGAATTATGCCTCAGGTATTTCCCCCCAAAGAAGAGCGAATATGAACCCCTTCCTCAGAACAAATAGTAAATCGAGATAAGGACTCACAGCCTCAGCTCGAAACATTATAATCGCTTTCTTCTAATGCAGCTACTTCAATAATTGTGGAGAAAAGATACTGGGGACAAGAAGCTTCAAAGGTTGGTGTGAAAATAAGACTCAATATCCCCTTAAAAGGAAATTCTGATTCTGAGTGGTAATGTTGGTCCCTATAAGCTCATAAAAGTATTTAATGTCATTGTGAAGAGTGGTAAAGGAACGAGTGAGTAATCACCATAAAAGGAAATCTTCAGAAGCAACGGTGAAATCTAGGAGGGAGGAGTCAGGAACTCCTCCCCTCCGGAAGGAGGAGACAAGGTGCTGAATAAAGAAGTGAGGTCAAACCAAAATAGCACTTGGATACTCGGCACTGAGGGAGGATGCACATCACAATCCAGCAGAGCCATTTTCACCCAGATCCGGACTACAGAATCAGAAACTTTAAAATATTTATGGAAGTAAACCCATCTCGAGCGAGACATGTTCTAACGGTGGAACAGCCCAGAAAGATCCTTGGGGCTGCACCAAGGGAGGCGCTGAATCTAAACTACGGTGATCACGAATTCTCGACTTACAAGCAGCTCCTCGAGGCAGCACTGGGGCAAGTGTTGACATGGTCCGGACCACACGCTGTCCCCTCGTTCTTCATGACCCCTGAAGAGCCTCAGCAACTCGTGGTCGCAAACAGACCTCTCTCGAACTAGAGAACAAACCAAAGGGTAGGAAGCAACTACGCTACATGAGGCGGGAATTCAGAGGACCAGGGTCATCTTGGACTCATCCAACAACAGAAGAAGCGGTGAATCGCAACAAAATTCAACGAAATCACTTCAACCCCAAGCTAACTTAAAACACTTTCCTTAGAAAATGGAAAGGTGGAGCTAACTTAGAGAAACACACCCAAAACCGACGCGTCAAAATACAGGAGGGGCGGGAACACGAGCTCCGCCCCTGAGTAGGGCGCTGGTCCCCTATAAAACAGGCTGAGCTGAGACAAAAGAGGAACAACCCCATCAGACTTGGACGGAGGAACAAGCGGAGCAGATCCAGCAAACTATGACATCAACCAGGCTGCCAAACTCACCCGACGTAAGTCCAACTTTCAACTCATCCATGCAGAAACCCAAGGATCCCCCCTTGGCTGTATCTCCAGTTGAGTACTATGCGATAATGCTCGCATGGTTCTGTTACTGCATGACTGGGAAATGGACCCTTAAGCAACCTCTGAGAATTCTTATCC